TGTTTGTTTAGCCCATGCGTTTGTCGTTTTATGTGAACCATCTCCGATATCAATCTCTTATTAAAGGAAGCTTAATATTTATTTTATATTTTACTTTTTAAAAGAGTAAACGATTGAACATGACGGCATACAGCATGAGAATTAATTTTTTTATGTTTACAACGAAGAAAAAATTATGAAATAACTGTACGATCAATCGATCATTGCGTTTACAATCAGAGGTAAACAGACTAAGAAACTGGCTAAGATTATAACCATTACACATAAAATATAGAAATACACAGCAGTATTGTCCGCAAGTTTGAGAAAATATTCCTTGCAGCGTCGTCGTATTCCAGCGATACGTGGTGAAGTTTCGGCGAAGTCGTAAGAGGAATCTTGAGTCCAAGGGCGGCAAGCCGTAGCTATCAAAATATATTTCTGTACCGTATTCGTCGATGTAGAAGGCGAAGCCGATCGTGATCGTCTGTCTATTAGCGACAATGGCAGTCGACCTCGTCCACACCCTCAGCAGTCGATCGACAGAATAGACCCCGGCATGTCGGACACTGAGATGATGTAATGTGTTTAAAACTTCCATTGAATTCATTTCTCGGCGTAAGCGAGCGTGAAGGAGAAGATGTTTGCGTAAATTCAGAATTTACCTCTTTCATCGGTACGTGCGTTTTAGAGTTCTCAAAAATACTCGACGTTTGTGAAACGCTAGTGTTAGCTTTATTTCTATCAGTCGTCGAGTCGAATTTTGGAAGATCTTTTTTCTCCTCGGCTGTCGCTTGTTCGTCCTCGCTTTGGTTCGTCTTTTCTGTTACGATATTTTTCCTCCACGCTTCGATGTTGCGAAATATTTCGTGTTTCTGATTTTTAAATTGAATTGAAAATTGTCCGCTGTCTGCTTTTTCGCTCTCGACGTCGCTCTCGCTCCAACTTTCTGAGGGAAGGCTATCGCGCAGCTCGAATTGCTGCTATTTCGTATAGTTAACCAGCGTTTCAATTTGTAAGCGTTGCGTAAGGCGCAAGATGATTCAACGTTGGTTCGAAATCCGTGATGCGTGCAACGTTATCCGGAACCTCCAAAATCTGGTAGATTTTTGAAAGGCGGAGAAATTCCTTTCAGATTATATACTGTCACGTCCCCGCTACATGTCACGTCCCCGCTACACCTAGAACATTTTTTTTTATTAATTATTGTATTATTATCCTTACTCCACTAAAAAATCACCAACGCTCTATAAACGCTTAATATTATCCCGACGCGATCACGTTAAATTCATTACTGAGCGTACTTAAATCCACTAACATATGCTCATGTATAGACGCTTCCTCAAGACGGAACCCTATTGGTCAATTCAGCCACAGCCTTAACAAGACTCCCAAACCATGAAAAACTTAACGAATCATAGTCACTGAACCTTGCCCAACTCGCCCCTACAGCCATAAATCCGAACCGGACCCTTAATCCATATCGACCAATCAGCAACCAGTATCTCAAATCTTCAAATCGACGACTCAAAAACACACGTGCGCATTCCACCTGCCATCAGCTTACCCATGCAAAGCCAAGCCACCTTCTTACGCCCCTAAAACCTTAAGGCCAGTTCACAAATCCTCATTTGTAATCCTCAAATCAACTAATCAATCACTGATCCCCACTCGCCAAGTAATCCCCCTTCAACATCCACTAAAACAAAGCATAAATCCACCCTTGTACCAAATCAACCAATCAGAGAACAGTCTAATCCATAGATATACATATATACAATAGTGAATCCTACGGTTATTGCTTTTGAACCCTCTTTTGACAGCTCATAACAATTACTCGTGCCCCTCAGAATATCCTTAAGCCTTGAATGAAACCTTAAGCCTTATTCACATGTCTCCATAAATCTACACTAACTAACTCTACTTAAATAATGAAAAACGCCTTGGAAACCATTCCAACTCGACGTCCAAGCCTCTCTATTAATCCCCTCATAACTAAGTCAGACATCCAAAAGCTCAGTATCAAACATATCAACCAATCAAAACCATGGAAACCGATCCGCCATTTCATGAACATTATTACCCACCAAATTTTATAAACTCCTTTGATAACCATGATCATCTACGAATCACCTACAGCTACAATAACTTACTTTCTGAAATCTTAAGCCTTATCCACATCCACCGCATCTCACTCATTTGAAG